CCGTTAGAAAGGTAATTTATCTGTGAGTAACATAGGCTATATTTTATTATTACTAATGTTTAGGAACTATTAATAAATAGGCTACATTTTTTATTATTTTTGAATTTCACGCGTGCGAAGTCGCGAGCTAGTATAAAATATAAAAAGGACTGCCGAGTCTCGCTTTCCCTACAAAAGTGTGTTAGTCATAAAACTTAAGAATTTTAGTTAGTGTCTATAAAAGCTTGGCAATTAAACAGAGTGCACTGCGCACCCAGATTCTTAAACTAAATCTTATTCAAATAAATCAATTTAAATACATTCTGTATTAGACTTTTACTGAACCTTGAATGGCGGGAAAATTCAATCCATAAGTGCCAGCAACACGTGACAAGTGAAGTTTTGTAGCAAAAAGTTTAATTTAGCCCTTGAGTTATAGTACGGATGTTGAGCGCGTTATTGGGCGCAAGCAGCCACTGCAATATGCCCGAGAAAAATTACAAGCAGGAAATCTCGAAACACCCTTCGACTTGCAGCGGAGGGTAGAAAAACGATGCCTCGTTAATTCAACGTATTACACTTTATGATATAAATGAATTAAGTGTTTTGCATTAGTCAATGTTTATTAAAAAAGGGAAATTTTTGTGTACAGTTAAAAGTGGATTATTCAATGAAAATAAATTGAGGTGAAAATGAATTTGTTTTTCTGATTAACTTTACTATCTTTAAAGGTGAGTACTGTTAGGAATAAAATTAGTACCGTGCTATAGTATTGGCGCAACTCTAGATTATCGGCATAAACGTCACGTCCCTAGCTGTCAATGTCACTAGAAGTATGGATAGATTGGCGCGTAACTTGAGTCTTGACGAGAAGTGTTGTATTAAATAAGTTGTCTAAAAGTACACAATTTTTCAATTGTCAAATATGATGTTGCCACATACTTTTAAATTAACTAATCTCATTTCTTGAACATAAGTGGTGAAGTGACTGGGTTTAAAATGGATAAAACATTTTTGATTGTTATAGTCGTAAAATCTTGATACAGTATTGATTACAAACGATGTAATGTAAATGATAGTAAAAGTGTTAGCTTCACACTTATATCGCTTGTAATTTCAAAGCTGCATTACGCTGGCAATATATAAAACTTAAAAACAACCTTAAAGTCATAGTGATAGAGTTCGAAATGGAATCGAGATATACCAATTACATGTCTCTCTGGACATAGAGTCGGTAGTGTTTCTGTAATGAAAGCCGGTGACACGTCGACGCATTGTCTATGCTCGAGTGATGTGACAGCGCAGTTTTTTTTTTGTGAATGCGTCGTTTTCTTTATGCCGACCTACAAACGCAGCAAACTGGAAACTGCATCAACATGAACTGTGTAGTGTGTAGTGCACTCTCTTAATTGTGCAACAGAAAAATCTTTGATGATATTTAATATTGAATTATCATAAACCAAATAAATCTTACTATTAATATAAAAGGGAACGTTTGGATGGATGCATGTTTTGTAGATTTTTTAGCCTCAATAGCTGAACGAACCTGAAAGGAAATAGGCATAAATCTAGAGCAAAGTCTGGAAGGATACATCGGATATTCGCTTTTGTTTTTTTTTTATTCCGGAGTCGCGGGCGAAAGCTAGTAAATCTATACATGTTTGTTTGTCCGTTGCGTTCTTATCCCATGTTCTGAGAAGAAGAAGAAAAGGTTTTCTGTTCAAAAAATTATGGTTTTTTAACAAGTTTTAAATTCTTAATTTATTTTAAGACTAAGTCTAAAATTATTATGGAGTAAGTGTAAATATACCGCGAGTATATTTTGAAATGAAAATGAGGAAGGTACGATCAGGGATTTATGCATACGTTGAAATGACTTGGGTAGGCGGTAAATAAAGACGTGTCATTTAACGTGAACGCAGACATAACCCCCGAACCGCCTGTCGCCCCTTTTAATCCACCTGAACATGTTTTATGAACGTCAAGTTTCACGTATAAAAAAGTTTTGACACCCAACGTGCTGCGCCAATAAACATCAGCCCCATAATGTTCCAGCCACTTCGTTCTTTTATGTTAATTCTTGTTTTAATATTTCAAGAGTCGGTTGTTGCTTTTAAGTTTACGCGCCAAAGATTGAAGCATCGTAAAACGTTTTTTATTCAAAGTGATTTTCCTTATCCTTATTTAAGAAAATGTTAACTTTTAACGTTCTTTTTTTAAATAATAATTCTTAAGACTTTATTTGGGACCACAACTGCTCCATTTTTCAAAATTGTTTTTTTTTCGCGTCACACAAAATCTATCTAGTCTATTATTATGGTTGTAAGAGTTAATACTAAAGACAATTAATTTGTCTAGAAATAAAACTTTAGCCGTTTTTTAAGTGTTATAATTCTGTAAATTAATTTACTTGAGAATAATCATTCGACGAAAAATGATTAGATGACGCAAACAAATACTGTGTTTTCGTGTTTTTTATAGAAAACCTATTAGGCGTGTATCGATTCAGCTTGGACGTCAGGTGATTTACATCGCTGCCTTCGTAATTCGTTGCCCTGACGGACGTCCCATATAAATCAATGTTGGACCCCCGTTAACCGGACATTTATCTCGGCTCGACGATAAAAAACTCCGCCGTCAGAGGAACGGCGTTGCAAGTCGCGTAGTACGTACATACTTATTGCTACGCCAGCTTTTGGTGACAAATATTCATTGGTGTTGCTTTTTTCTTTATTTTACTTTACTATGTATTGAGTAGTCTGTCGTGTTGTACAGTTCAGCAAACGTCAAAATAGTTTTTGCTGTTTTATTTTATTTAGCACTTGATAGAACATCTCAAAACATTTGTTTGCATATTTCATTTATAAAAGTACATATCTGTATGAGGTTTGTGTTGAGGTTATATTACGTTAGATAATATTATAGTAAAAGGCGGAAAAGTAGATAGAAATGAAATTAATTTATAAACAAACGATAAAAAAGCTGAAATTATGATAAATCGAGTGATATTTCAAAGTCGAGGTTGATTTAAATAATGTAAAAAGATTGCGACATCCTGTATAATATTCATGGAAAGACATAATTTAATTCAGAGAGACGGCCGCGGGCGCGGGCTTGGAGTCCGGACGAGCGAGATTAGACTCTTGTCTCCGAACATGTAATGAAAACATTTACTTCAAAATGATTATGTAAAATTATTTTCATTTCTTCTTCTGGAATTAATAAATATTGTTTTATCTGTATGTTAAACTTAAATGTTTGGATTTGTCGGTACAAATTAAAACATTACCGTCCATCGTTTGTAAAG